GCAGTGGAAAAGGCAAAGAAGGAGGTGCAGAAGGGCTGGGAGGAATTTCAGAGACACCAGAAAGCCGGTGAGGCAGCATGGAAAGTGCAGAAGGAACAGCTGCAAGCGCTGAAACAGAAGGTGCCAAAAAAGCCAAAAGCGGTCACAAAAAAAGACTGGATGGCAGAAAATTATCCTCAGTTGGTAATTTCGCCATCGGATACAGTGAAAGAGTGTGGAAAAGGAGTGGAGGAACCCATCTGCGACGCCAATGAGCAGTGAACGGGGATCGATCTGGCGTGGGAAATTCAAGGTCACACTATGTCACACTGAACCATTAAGCCGTGAAAGGCCCATTTGCTCACCTGCATTTATTCTCCTTCATTTCTCATTCTTTTTCATCCAATTTTGCACAGTAGGTACATTATAAGTCTGGCTACTATTGGGATTTTTTTTTTTTTTGGAGGGCAGATCTCAAATTATAGTGTCGAAATTACAAAAGGTGCGCCATTGGCACGTGAATGACTGTACTTGTGTTGAGACCAACTGCTGTTGCAATGGTTGGACCACGGTTCGAGTGTGAGTTGCTTACATAAGCGACTACGAAGTTAACCTCACTTGCCGACCCCCACGGTTTAGCCTTTGTTCCTTTGCGCCACACAAAAATGTGGTGTGTAGAGCTGAGTGCGATATACTGTGATATCGTACTCAGAATGTCCGGCTGCAATGCCGCGATTATAACACGGGCAACCATTTAGATGGACTTTACCTAATTATAAGTGTCACCTCAGAAATTCGGAAACAGAATCTGCTCCAATTGTATGTAAGAAACCAGAACCATACATTTCGTCCAAAACCCAACGATCCATCAGACGTCGGATTTCAAAAACCACGACACCGTTGTGAGCACAGCTTCAGAAGGAGAGATGGGATGGAGTAGCGGTCGAGGGTGGGGTGCCCCAACTCAATTTGCGCAACACTTGGATTTCAAGATCAGCTCCCGTTGCTGTCAAGCTCTGGTTACCCATCATCAATGGCCCGAGAAAAGAAGGCTAGTGGTTGTCCGTTTGACGTTTCAGGGATGCAGTATCATCCTCCTCATGGACGTTCTGAAGCGATGGATCCCCATGTATTTGGATCACAAATCCATCTGTATCTCGGAGCTGGAGTCCTGCCTAATCTCGGAGACTGCAGAGCATGTCGGGCAAATATCGGGAGGCAATCCCTGCGCGGAAAAATTCGACTGTAATAGTATTAGTTCTCACAGTCGAGATCTAAATCGCATCGAATTGGCCCCAATTTCGGTGGCCGCACGGAAGTCCGTTACGATGCTGTCTTGGCCACTTCAGCATCCCTTTTGCTGTACTTGATTTTTTGGTGTTGCCAAACAAGGTGACGGGAAACTCGCCGAGCGTGAGGACCTTCTGTGATCAGCATTGACAATTCGAGCTCCACTATGGTTCAGCTTAGACTGATCATTTTTCTCGTCTATTTGCTCAACATCAAAACTGCAACGCATGGAACATACCTCCCCGTTAAACCTTCTGGTAACAGTGGTGATGGACTTCCGAGACATGGAAGCCCTCACAATTTATATTTGGGATGGCCTCATTAAGGAATTGAACTAGGATAAGCCGATGGGCAGGAGGACAGTGGTTCCTTGGGGGTTTTCGGGGTATTGCCTACGCAGCTACACTATATAGCCAGCAAGAATCTGATGGGGAGCCTACTGGAAATTAGACTCCTAAGGGTAGCGCCCGGAGTACCGGGACGCGTAATCCGAATACCCTGCTGGCCCAAATTCCCGGTGCACTGATAGACTGACTACAGCCTCCGGGATGAGGCCACCTTGCTGTGGTCCATAGGCTGCCCCAGCGCCCAATGTGGTTAGCCGGCTTTGGCTCTAAGATGCTCTCCCAGTTGCGTGAGTGGACGGCGTGCATGATGTGGCAGTCGCTTGCGTAACTCTTTCTCAGCTTCTGCAGTACTTCTTCACCATATGCTTTATTCCTTTTCTTATATGGTTTTCGTCCACGTCTTCCTTCTTTCTCAAAACCATCAGCGGCCCCTATGTACCACTGCTACCGTCGCTCACAGACACTAACCACCACAACAGTGGTGCGCCTAGTGGGCTGCCCAACTAACCCCCTTCATCAAACTGGACAATGTTCCGGGGATGGAGCAGTTTTACGGATTCCGGCGGTCGGTGAACTGGCAAGGTGGGAGATTACATAAAACGGCCCTGCTTTGCGTTGGCACAATGTAGCCTATCGTACTCTCCATCATACGCCAATAGACACAGATACAGAGCTAAAAACGCTCCGTTTCGCGGATGAACCGGGTGGTGTGTGGAAGGGTCTTCAGATGGGAGACCAATTGGGTCAGATCGAAAGTTTTGATGAATTTAGTCATCGAGGAGGTTAGGAGGATAGCCCTCTTGAGTTTTTGGTGCTCGCAGCAGAAACGATGGCAGGTGATTACAGTGCTCTATCGATTCAGACTCTGAACATAGAGGGCAATTGGGCGAGTCCACATGTCTCCATCTGGCTAGATAGATAGGATCGTAGCTGGAAGGGGATGAAGGATGTGCCTCTTGGTAGGGACGAAATGTTTTTGATAAATGCGCCGGAACACTGCCTTTGTGGTGGAGGGCTCGTTGTCCAAGCCCCGTCTGCGCAGCATTTGCCGCTAGAGTACCGCTAGAGGCAGGCATGAGAACATAGAGCGAAACGGAAGGGGACAATATTACTCTGCACACAGAGTCACTAACCACTCCCGATATTACGCAATTGGCAACACTGAAAATTTGTCATCATCTTCCCTTTCGGGTTGTTTACATGCTTTCTTTTACGTCATCTCGCCTGTCCCTTCTCTCTTTTATTTTCCGCTCCCCATTTGTCCTCCTGTTCCAGAACTTCACTTCGACTTTAAACCCAACTATGCGAAATACACAGTCCGATGGAAACAGTCTCCACTGAAATTGGCTTACTCTGCGACGTTCAATAATTGCCAAGGACTCACTCTTGATCGAGTACTGTTTGATTGTGGAGAGGATGTCTTTGCGCATGGGCAGCTGTACACTGCGCTAAGCTGTGTGCGACATAGGTCTCATGCGATGCTGTTCTTGCCCGAGTCAAAGCTGGACGTTGCGAATGTAGAATACAGAAGACTTTTGGGTTAATGTTAACCTGGCTTGCTACGTTACTTCAATGAATGGACGGCAATTGTTGTATTTAATGTACAGGTTAGTCCAAGACAAATGTAGTGGGGCTTTGCTGCCAGTCATTGGCAGCAGTCCTCTCATGCTGGGAGGTTTCTGATGGTCCATCCGACCATCTATCTATAATTTATTGGCTCCTTAGCCCCAGGAGCCGCTGCTGTTTCTGGAAGCACCCTGCGCTTCCTTCCTTCTTTCCTTTTCTGGGTTTTCCCTATGGAAAGCCAATCTGCTTTCCTCTCAGTCTGCGAGGCTGGAGATGGTCTAGGTGACCATCTCTCCACTGGTTTTGCACCAGTATTATAACTCTTTGAGCTCAGGAAGCGCCCTGCGCTTCGTCGCATCCAGGGTTGTTTCAGATTTCAAGCCCTCACTCTTTTTTCCACTCATTCCGAGAGGTTTCAGATGGTCTATGCGACCATCTCTCCACTGGTTTTACGCCGGTATTAAGCTCAGCTGAGAGCTGAGTTCTGGATGTGCCTGCGCTTCGCCAGATCCTGGGTACATCGAGGGTATGGCCCTTACTTCTTTCCCTTTCATTCCAGAAGGCTAGACACGGTCCCAGTGACCGTATTCCTACCCGTTTTCACTGGTGTTCTTAGCTTATGCTGAGAGCTGACTCTCAGAAGCGCCCTGCGCTTCCTCCTGTTTATGGGCCTCTTGGCTCTGAGGCTCAACCGGTTCCTCTTATTCTGCGAGGTTATAGGTGGTCTATGTGGCTGCATCTTTACCAAGTTGAATATGGCTCAGCTTTCCACGGTATCGTTTCAGTTTGATCAGTACCATCGTATCTGAAGGCTGCCATGTATGGCCTTCACTCGCTGCCGTGGCATCCGTTTTTTTTTAGATTTTCTTGAATGTCTTTCCCTGTATCGTGTTGTTGCGAGAAAGATGATTGAATTTCATTGATGGTTACAATATAACAACATAGTTATTTGATGAGAACGGAATAAGTGGGCAGTGCAGAGTTCTGCGAAGCGCGAAGCGCAAGCACTCTAGTGACAATAAAATTCGCTAAATACAAGATAGCAGCCAAAGAAAGCGTGACTTGTATCACAAAAAGAGCATCACGTACAAAGTATAACGTGGGAAGACAAAATAGGAAATAAGAACTACACGTAATTTCAGCGGCAGGGCAGACTTTTACTGATAACGCTACGTCGAGTGACTGTGTGATATCATCCATCCATATCAAACGACCAGGACAATAGCGAGTCGTGCCGCAACAGGCGAGTCCATCAGTTATACGGTCCTGAGTGGTCCACACAAACCTGCGATGCCTGTCACAGATGGACTTCATGCCCAATTCTTGCGAGGTCCTCGGAAATCCCCGCATCGAATAAAATCGTGTCAAGATCGGCCAAACCACACATGCTTACAAACCGGTTCCTGCGCTCCGGGATGAAATTCGTGAATTTCCTGTCCGCTGACCGCCTCAATCTCCATCGTATTTGCAATTGACCACGACAGGCGGAACACTTTCGAAAAGGCGGGACAAGCTCACTTCAAGTTCTTTTCCGTTTGCCAAGGGTTTACTTGCACCGAGCTCCTCGAGGTTCGTGTCATGCGTCACCTCCCTCGAATCATCCGGCTCGATAGAAATTCATGTGTGAAGGCTGTGCCAGCCGCAATCCTAACTCAATTGATTCAATCGCGCCATGATGCCTGGACGACTTCAATGCGGAAACACACCAGCTTCACTAGTACTCCTAAGGACACATGTCAATTAATCCCTTTCAAATACTCCTCCTTACAGCCCTTCCACCTTGTCTCTTCCTGCAGTTGACGCCCGTCCGCTTGGAAGATGAACAGATACGCCGCCAGTCGCCATGCCTGGGTGTTTCTCTCTATCGTTTTCGATCTTTCCGCCATCGGACTTGTCGTGCTTGTTCACCAGCGTGACGTCCTTCTCCCCCTACCCCGGAACTCCGCAGAAGCCACTTTGCAGAGCCTTTTGCCCACGTTCGCATCCTTCGTGGGCCACATACTCGTTGTTATCAATGCCATCGCTATCTCATCGCTAGTAACGGCATTCACCAAGAAGAAGATATCTGACCGGGGGATCACCTTTAAAGAAATGAACCATCTCCACTCTGTTGGTGAGCGGAGCCACTCTTTTCAATGTCATTGTGAACGATTTAAGCTCATACCAATCGATCGCAGCCAACGGAAACCTCCCACACTCTCTCACTCTGGTTGCCTTCATCGCCATCGCTATTAAGTTGGCACAGAGTTTCTTTGCCTCCGTATGTTGTCCTTTTTCTCCACGCTAGACTTCACCTTCAATTTCTGAACTTGACCGAGTAGGCAATAGTCTACAGTCTCTCCCCTGATCTTATGAACCGAGGAACGACGCATAGCATGCCAATTGTTGACCTTGCTATTGATACGAACCAAGTGAAAGTCAAGTTAGTGCAAATAACAATATAGTAGTCTGCTGTCATTTCTAACCCGACATTGGCGCATCAGCTGTTCGTATGGCAATGGCGACGTCAATCTGTACGGTTACGGTCCAAATTGTCCTCTCAACAACGCCTATGGGGTCATCTATAACGTCAGTCCACGCCTCTTGTGCTTCATTTATGACTCGAAATTTCACCTGACACTTACCTCAGGCCTACATTGATTCGTTGGGTGACACGTTTCTCGTCAACAGCACAAGGGACGGAGTCTCATACCCTTCCACCCTTCTTGGCATCTCTGGCTCGATTTCCACGCTATCCACTCGGTACGCTCGGGATGTAAGCGGGAATCCGAAGCGCACGGTTCTCCCAACCGACACGTTCGATTCCTGTGTGCCGAGAGTTAATGTGACCGCAACGTGCAATTCCAGTCTCGACAACGGTCAGACTGCGGAATTTGGGGTCAGTTTTGACACCACTGCTGATTCCTCTAAGTGACTCAGTTTACTCTTCTTTCCGCGCGTGTGCAGTCGCTCAATGTTGCTACCAACTCGGGGGGGCCCAACTCAATTGCCACCTTCCGCATTCGTAACAGCGATGGAAGCCATGGCGGATATCAATATGCCCCGGTTTACGCCAATGGGGCCATCTCCATTTTCCAGGATGACGACGTTCAGAACGGAGAAACGGTCGTCACGATCTTGAGGTGTGTCTCATTACGTTCCACCTGTGTCCCTAACAATGTCTGATTGCTATGTCTCCATTTAAAGCACTGGGAAATATGCCGAGAACCTTAGCTCACCCACAATCCAATGTCGTGTCTCTGCCTATCAATATCTCCTCCCCATTCGCATCGTAGGAAATACCTATGTCCAACCACTCCCTTCGCTTCAATGCCCCTCTATCCCCGAACCACCGCCTTCCACTTTACTTCAAGTGGTTCGCATCGCGCCCATGGCATTGGTCAAATCACAAGGTCAAGACGGAAAACTCGAAGCTATTTCGCTCATTTCGTCAGAGAGAAGATCGACTCCTGGAGGAACGACAAAGGCCCTCGAACTTGCGCTGAAGCAAATGGCCAGTGTCGGAGCGACGGAAATGTATGGGGTCTTGGACAGTTTATCCAATATCACATGGCCAGGCACAATGGATTACACATTCGCAACGCAGGGATACAAGCTCGGGATATCAGGGAACTACAGTCTTATCTTTCTACTGAGTCCGGTGACACTCTTACTTGCTCTGCTTTGGGGGTGGGTGTGGGTGGGCTTCAGGAATGGCGTAGATGGAGGTTTCAATCCCTTACATCCTAGCTGTACAGCAGCAGCGGGGATGAAAAGAGAAGTCCTGGTGGCTGAAATCGCTGACACGAAGGATGCGGATCAACATGGGCTTGATGAGCTAGACGTGACTGTTAAATATGGTGAGTACGATGGCTCACTATTCGATCGCATTAATATTCAAGACCTTCGCTTTAGGTTATGTGAACGGGACGAGGTTAGGCCTCGAAGTGCCAGGTGGGCAACCTGCATATTCCGAATATGTGAGGGTGTCGGAGTATAAGGACTCCCCAATCGCGTCACCCATACCGACGCTGGGCTTTAATAGCCCCGAACAACCACTCTATTCGGCTCCTACTTTCCCTCATCCGCACTAACGTGTATACTTGCATTAATTTTACGAATGTACGATTATGCTGCATATGCTTTTGGTGTTGGGGCAGCTACGCTTCGTCCCAATCTCTTTCGATCAGCTTCTATGTAAAATCATTCCTCACAGTACCCTGTTAGTAATGCCCCAGTGACTAATTTTGTGAACATTTGATGTCGGTCCCATCAAAGATATAAACCAATATGCTGGTCGCCGTGGTAAAGTGTATCCACACCGCGGGAAACAATCCTGACGCTGTGCTTAGACAGTGGCCAGCATTGTGCGCAGTGAGCTGGACAGCCGCAAGCAATGGTGAGGACATACCTAGACTTTGAGCTCACTGCTGCGTGTCTATACATAAGTCGATTGCATTTTAGCGACTCTGGCGCTGTTGTGGACATAGTACTAGGCACCACACCATCCGGTCTTTTTCGCATTTTCGGAGCGAAATTCGCGCGTTGCATACCTGCACTTTTGAGCTCACCGCTGCGCGTCTATACCTACGTCACTTGGGCTCCAGTGTTATTGTAAGCATACAAGGCGCTACACCGCTAGTTCAAAATCTGCATCCACGCTGTATACCTCTACTTTGAGCCACTTTTACACATCCATATGTAGGTAAATCATATTTACCAATAGCTCCACCATTGCAAGGATACCACATTGTATTCCCGCCACTCCATAGCGGGTCCTGCAAAATCTAGGACCCGCATTGTGCACAGGTTCAGGAAGCGATCGATCATCATGCCACAAGTACCTCCAATCACGATCACAGCCATCCCGAGGATCATCTCCGACGTGCCATACCAATATTTCGTGGGCATTATGTAACACTTATATGAAAACGGCGTCGTAGTCGTCGGGACCGCCACTTTGCATCTGTGAGTACTAGTATTGTTCATGACGCTCAGGCATCAGTGTGAAGAGCAATACCATCACATTCAGCACCCACCCTTGAAATACCGCACAAGGTGAAATTCCTAGTTTCCAAATCCATTGCAAATTATTGGGCCCACTCGTCTGCCGGAGGACGACAACACCATCCTGTCCATCTCCAGCAAGGCACGAGCCGCTGACGACGAGTTGCAAGGACTCAGTCCCCATTTTTCCGTTGCAACAAAGACATGGCGGCTGATGAGGACACAGATAATCCACCCACCTCCAGTGATGACCTGACGGGCTTGAACAGATACTTCCGTCCGAAACCAAGGAATTCACCTTCAGTTTCTTGCTCGGTACTTCTGATTTCATTATCTATGTAAAAGGAGGCAGTGATCTGCTTGGCTTGACTTTTTTGAAAATCTTGCATGCTGCATGATCTAGGTTTGTCTGAATATGATTGATCTCGTTGATTGGTGTGGAAAGTTGGGGGGGGTATCCATGTAAAAACCAAAATTCGAGTACGTGATGCTGAATGGGATAATAAGAAACAAGCACGTAGTACAAAGAAACACGGTTCTGAACACTTTAATAAAATAAAGATAAAAGGTAGGGTGGCGGGGTGTTGCCGCGACGGGCAGCATCCACCAGTTATTTTTGCAATGGCGGAGCCGTTGGTGATATGATTGGCCTACATACGCATGTGTAGAGAAGTGGCTTGCATATGTGCAGCGCCTCGGCGCAAATTTTGAACTACATAGCGCTGTGAGAAATTTTTGGTTTGAGAAGTGTGAACAGCGAGTCACTAAAAACGAAATTGACTTATGTATAGATGCGTAACGGTGAGCTCAAAGTCTAGGTATGTGACGCGCGGCGCTTGAGTCGGATGCTCGGCAACCGTAATCACGTAACCTCTTTGATGGTGAAAATTCATATGTGGAGGCTGTGTCCCACCCAGCTTACAGGCGCGCGGTTTGTTCTGATTGCGCATGCCATGATGGCTGGACGACTTCAATGCGGAACACATCAGCTTCGCTGCCAAGGTCATGTCAGTTTCTTTCAAATACTCCCCTTACAGCCCTTCCGCTGTGTTTAAGCAGTGGCAGGCATACAATTGATTCAATTGCGCATCTTGCGCACACGGCGGCAACAGCTCGGGCCCGACGAGACCTCGTCTCCATTATGTAAATCACAAGCCAAGTGGCTTGACGACTTCGATGCGCCACACATCAGCTTCCCTGCCAAGGACATGTCAGTTTCTTTCAAGTACTCCCTTCCGCCTCGTCTGCTCCTGCAGTTGACATTCGTCCGCTTGGAAGATGAACAAATACGCCGCCATTCGCCATGCCTTGGTGTTCCTATCTATCCTTTTCAATATTGCCACCATCGGACTTGTCGTGCTTGTTCACCAGTGTGACGTCTTTCTTCCCCCTGTGGGAACCTCTTTACAGAAATTTTTGCCCACGTTCGCGTCCCTCGTGGGCCAAATCGTCGTTTGCACCAATGCCATCGCTATCTCATCGCTAGTGACGGCATTCACCAAGAAGAAGATATCTGACCAGGGGGTCACCTTTGAAGAAATGAACCATCTCCATTCTGTTGGTGAGCGGAGTCACCCTTTTCAATGCCATTGTGAATGATTCATGCGTTGAGCTAATCATGCCAATCGATCGCAGCCAACGGGAAACTCCCACATTCTCTCACTCCGATTGCCTTCGTCGCCATCGTCATCATGTTGGCACAAGGTTTCTTTACCACCGTATGTTGTTCTTTTTCTCCACGCTAAACTTTAGCTTCAATTTCTGAACTTGACCGAGTAGGCAATAGTCAACAGTGTCTCTCCCGATATCATGAACTGGGGAACGACGCATAGCATGCCAATTATTGACCTTGCTATGGATACGAACCAAGTGAACGTCACGTTAGTGTAAAGAAAAATATGTATAGTAGTCCGCTGCCATTTCTAACCCGACATTGGCGCATTAGCTGTTCGAATGGCAATGGAGACATCAATCTATACGGTTACGGTACAAATTGTCCTCTCAACAACGCCTACGGGGTCATCTACAACGTCAGTCCACATCCTTGCGTTTCATTTACGACTCAAAATTTCACCCACACCCAGGCCTACATTGACTCGTTGGGTGACAAGTTTCCCATCAGCAGCACCAGGGACGGAGTCTCATACCCTTCCACCCTTCTCGGCATTTCTGGCTCGATTTCCACGCTATCCACTCGGTACGCTCGGGATGTAAGCGGGAATCCGAAGCGCTCGGTTCTCCCCACCGATACGTTCGACTTCTGTGTGCCAAAAGTCAATGTGACCGCAACGTGCAATCCCAATCTCGACAATGGTCAAACTGCGGAAGTTAAGGTCAGTTTAGACACCACTACTGACGCCTCTTCTAAGTGACTCAGTTTACTCTTCTTTCCGCGCGTGCAGTTGTTCGAGGTTCCTGACAAGTTGGGATGCAACTCAATTGCCACCTTCCGCATTCGTAACAGCGATGGAAGTTATGTTGAGCACGGATATAAATTTGGCCCGGTTTACGCCAATGGTGCAATCTCCATTTTCCAGGATGACGACTATGAGAACGGAGAAACGGTCATCACGATCTTGAGGTGTGTCTCGTTATTTTTCACCTGTGTCCCTGACAACATCTGATTGCCATGTCTCCATTTAAAGCACTGGGAAATATGCCGAGAACCTTAGCTCCCCCATAATTCAATGTCGTATTTGTGCCCATCAATATCTCCTCCCCATTCGCATCGTAGGAAATAACTATGTCCAGACGCTTCCTTCGCTTCAATGCCTCCCTCGCCCCGAACCATCGCCTTCCTCCTTACTTCAAGTGGTTCGCATTGCGCCCATGGCACTGGTCAAATCACAAGGTCAAGACGGAAGACTCGATGCTATATCGCTCATTTCGCCACAGACAAGATCGACTGCTGGAGGGACGATAAGGGCCCTCGAACTTGCGCTTGAGCGAATGGCCAGTGTCGGAGCAACGGAAATGTATGGGCTCTTGGACGGTATCTCCAATATCACATGGCCAGACACAGCGAATTACACGTTCGCAACGCGGAGATACAAACTCGGGGTATCAGGGAAATACAGTCCTATGTTTCTACTGAGTCCGGGGATCCTATTATTTGCTTTGCTTTGGGGGTGGGCGTGGGTGGGCTTCGCGAAGGGCGTGGATGGAGGTTTCAATCCCTTACATCCTAGCTGTACAGCAGCAGCAGGAATGAAAAGAGAGATCCTGGTGGCTGAAGTCGTGGGCACGAAGGATGCGGATGAAGATGAGCTCGATGAGCTAGACGTGATTGTTAAATATGGTGAGTGCGATGCTCACTGTTCAGTCGCATTAATACTCAGGTTTTCCGACTTTCGCTTTAGGTTATGTGGACGGGACGAGGTTAGGCCTCGAGGCGTCAGGTGGGCAACCTACATATTCGAGGGTGTACAAGGACTTTCCACCCGGGTCACCCATACCGACACCGAGCTTCAATAACCCTGAACAATCACTCTATTCGGCCCCAGCCTTCCCTCACCCGCACTAACGTGCATACCTTGCATTAATTTTACGAATGTACGACTAACACTTTGCATATGCTTTTGGTGTTGGAGCGGTTACGCTTCGTCCCAATCTCTTTCGATCAGCTTCTATGTAAAATCATTCCTTACTAGGGGTGCCACGGTTCGGTTCGGTTCGGTTCTGGGGCCATTTTTTGAGAACCAGAACCAGAACCGGTTCCACATTTTGGTGATAATGTCGAACCAGAACCGAACCAGTATCTGAACCGAACCGAACCCCATTTCGGTTCTGTTATGGTTCGGTTCGGTTTTGAACGGTTCGAACACGCATTCACTGCCGACAAAGTTATCTATTGCAATTATGCATGTATAAGTACTCAAAATATGCAATTTTACTTCATCATTAAGAGTCCCTTCTCTCTGTAAGACTGGCTTCATATTCCCGCCATTCCTGAATCTTCGCAGCCTCCACAGTCTTCCTTGCTTCCCGTTCTTTAAGGTAATTCCGCTGTATATCAGCTTTGGCAATCTGAATGGCACCAAGGTGCTCGGGAGTAAGGCAGCTCCGATTTTCACTGTCTGTGTGTTTTGCACCAGAAAAAGCCCTCTCCCACGGGATGGAAGATGCGGGGACTGAAAGGAGATCCCGGGCAATGGATGTCAGAATTGGATATGTAGGGCCTTTGTTCTAAAAAATTATACAGTCAATCCAGAGAGCAGTTGAGACAAAATGTCGGTGACGCTACCATCCAGAAATCGAGAATGTCAGTGCCGGGTGGTTCAAGCGGGTCATTAAGGTAACGATTAAGTTCTGCATGAGGATTGTCGCTTATTATTTCTTGGGCTCGCCGAGCTTGACTGGCTGCAAGGCGCCGTGAAAATCCATACACCTCATCAGCTGAGAGGGCAGCTGGAATCATCTGTACATCGGGTCCATCTGTTCCGAGTTCATTTGCATTTGGGGCACTGGATTGTGCCGCATATGCGGTACGATACTCGAGAAACTGTAATACTTAGGTAAGTTACATTCAGAGACTCAGAGATTTGGTACCTACAATATTTTGCACAGTCTGCATCGCTTTCTCTCGAAATGAAGATGCAAAATAATGCTTAATATACGAATCCTTTATTTTCGGATCAAGAACTAGATTGAGAGCACGCAAGTGGATACATATCACATCCCACATGAGAGGTTTCGCGATGACATACCTGTGCTGAGAACGGCAAGAGGGGACACATCTGTCTCATCATAATACTTGCCCAAAAGAGCGATGCCGGCATTAAGGGCATCAGAGATACACGCATATTTTGGTGTCTTTTGCATTCCCTCCCAGCTGGTAATAAGTTGTTCGTACACTGAGAGCAAGCGTGTAGCACTCGAGACCTTTGATGTTCCGGAAAATGATTGTTGAGCATGAGCGGCAACCTGTCAAGATGGTTACCTGGATATTCCTATAAAGCAAAAATTTCACGTACCTTAAGTGCATCAACAATTAATCCCATAGTATTCCAATCATTATCGCTGAATACCCATGTGCTATATTTGGGTGTACGACCCTTTGCCTTTGGTACGGAGTCTTTGCGATCCGCGTGTTCGAGGAAATGCATAATAGCCTATTATAAAGTAAGTGAAGCACACAATAACAGGCTGGCACTGTCATACAGGTCGCAACTCAATAAATCGGCTCAAAAGTAACAACCAGGACCCCCAGCGTGTATTTCCGTACATGATGAGTTCCAATGGTTTGATAAATACTTTGGTGCAACATTCTCGTAAATAATGCTTTGCACCGGGGGACTTGCGGATCTGCCACAGCTCTGTGTTAAATATAAATTTGTTGCTGTGGAATCATAACTCACACGAATGATTAAAGTGCGAACACGGATTAACAGTGGCCCAATTAGGATACCTTCCATAGGGGAGATCTCAAGACCGGAGAGATCGATCCCATCATCATCATCGGTGTCGCGAGGCTGCATGCCAGTATCACCCAAAAGAGTAGTGATGAATGATTGTTGGGCCAAGTTGACAATGTGGCCCATGCATCTGGTCAATGCACAGTGTAAGTCAGGAACGCGACCATAATGCCAAACATCACTGGCAAACCTGACGCGGTAGCGGGAAGCAACCCATCTGGTGTTGTGTTCCTCACTGAGAATATCGCCCATAATATGCATTGCTGCATCGTTTGTTGAAGCATTGTCTGATGCGATGTAACCAATCTACTCATTAATTAAATTGTAGCAGTATCGGTAAGAAGTTAGTTGAATACTCACCTTTGCCGCTGGTACCATTTCTGTGATCTCTGCTAGCAATACCTTTGCAATGTTTTCACCTGTGTGAGGCCCATCAAGCTCACGGAAAGACATTAGCTCTGAGTGAACATTCCATTTATTGTCCAAGAAGTGACACGTCACCCCGAGAAAGCCCCTCATAGTCGCAGATGTCCATGCATCGAACGAAAAATGAACCAGACCTGGTACCTCCTGTATCAAATAGTCAATCCACATCAGCAGCTATGATGAGAGGGGTGGAAACATGCCATGAGCTGCTTTTTTAAGTCCGCTGTGACAGTTTCTGACCGCTCCATAATAAGTTTGGTAAGTTTTGTCCGGTGAGGAAGGTCCTTCTCCTTGTAGTGTGGGGAACTATCAAGGCCTGCACGGGCTTGATATCTCATTAAATCACGAAATGAGTCTGAATCAACGAAGTCAAAGGCCTAGGGAAAGTTAGTTTTATTGATCCGGGAATAGTCAAAATAACACACAAGATCATGCTCAATGATCAAGTTCTCGATTCTATGAAGTAACCCCTCCACAGTCCATGATATCTCATCTTCAGCTAGGCGATAGAAGTTTGTGATCCGTCGTTGGTTTGTCCTGTGATTCATGAGGGTGGTCCCGAAACAAATTGAATTGAATCTGAACTTACTTGCTGGCCACTAAAGCCGCCTGTCGTACCACATCCGGTATTGCTCTATCATCAGGTGCAACTCCAAGGGTGTTGCATTGCCTCATATAGAGGTCCCAGTGATCCCCCCCACTATGACTGATATGTTTGCGAAGTGTGCTGGAGCCAGAACTTGCTGAGAATCGTGGTGTTAAGAGTCTTGACCGGTCCCCGTTGTCGTGAGCAGATCTATTTCATAATGTTCACCCGGACCACTGACTCTATTTGGCACTTACTGGCATACTCGGCATACCCGATAGCTCCCTTGGTCATCATGAATAACTTCAGTGAACACCGTCTCGAGGTCTTGCATTCTTCGCGCTTTCTGAGACTGCTTGACTGCAAGTGCAGCCTGTGCATCTTTGCAGGCAAACTCGTCTTGGTTCTCATTAGCCCCAGGTGCATCCTCTTCCCAAACTCCAGCCCCTCCACCCAGCTCCGCATTTTCAGGTGCAGAGAGAGGTTTGAGTGCCTTTGTTGCATTATCAATTCTGGCCCGCTTCGGGGCCTTCTTCACCTGGTGACGCCCACGCTTCGTACTCTGTTCCGTGGTCAACTCTCCATCCGATGTGGAGGAATCTCCAGACATTCCAGCATAGATTGATTTGATGGGTCGTTTTGCATTACTCGGTAACTTGGGATTGTCCAATTGAAGACCATTTTTTGAGAAAGCTGCGAGAGTTTTCTGGGAAGCACCAATGCCCAAATCTTTGTTCCGGAAAGCACTAGATTTGTTTTTGTTTTTGGCAGATAGTTTTTGTTGCTCGAAAGCTTCAATCGGATTTTCACAAGTAATATGTTTCACAACCCGCTTAGGCCGCTGTGCCACTCGATGAGCCGCAGGCAGGTCATTATCTGGGTTGTACCCTTCAGAGTTAGAAGGGTGGCTTGGCTGAACATCCGAAGGACTGAATACAAATTGATCAGGTTTGTCCGCAGCATCACGAAGTTTACCATCCGGACCCAGCATTGGATTTTCTGGGTCTGTATGGAACTCGCTTTCATCGCCAGAAGAGGTCCCCATTGGTAGGATTTGCCAAGGATTTGCCAGAATTGTACCGGTCCGAGACTACTGTATAGTTAAATTTCCTTTTCTTTCAAATTTTCGGTCAACTCCGAATCATCCGACAAAAATGTAAAATTATCATAAAGAAATGCTTCCTGCAATATTGATTCAAGAGGGGTTACCTGTTCTTCTACAGTTCTGCGGTTCAGTTTGGTTCAGAACCGGTTCACAACACCTTCCTGACTTAGAGAACCAGAACCGAACCGGAGCGGAACCAGATCAGAACCGAACCGTGGTTCGGTTCCAGGATGGTTCAGTTCACGGTTCAGTCCCGGTTCGAACCGGTTCTCTGAGAACTACGGCACCCCTATTCCTTACAGTACCCTGTTAGTAATGCCATATTCCCCTAGGTCCAGTGACTAATTTTGATCCCATCAAAGATACAAACCAATATGCTTGGTCACCGTATTCATCTATGTAAAGTGTGTCCACACCGTGGGAAACAGCCCTGACACTGCGCTAGACAGTGGCCGGCATTTTGCACAGACGGTGAACTGGACAGCCACAGGAAGTAAAAGTGGCCTTAGGCCCTATGGAAACGTCCTGAGAATCTCCCCTAAAAAGGCCCCGCCCACAACCGGCTGTCCAAGGTGACCCTTACAGCGAAAAACGAAATATCGTAGAAAAGTGCAACAAGCGAAAACCCTGATTTGCATATCACGGCAATCAACCTCTTTGATGGTGAAAATTCTGATGTGAAGGCTGTGCCTGTGCCCCAGCCACAATCTTCTTACAGGCTTGTTACATGCGTGCGGGTTTTTCTGACGCTTGTAATTGATTCGATTGCGCATGCCATGATAGCTGGACGACTTCAATGCGGGACAGGGGGAGTATTTGAAGCAAACTGACATGTCCTTGGCAATGAAACTGACGTGTTGCGCATTGAACTCGTCCAGCCATCATGGCTTGCGATTTAATGGAGGCTCGAGATTCAAAAAGTCTCGTCGGGCCCGAGCTGTTGCCCGTCTGTCACACCAGTGTGCACACAAGATGCGCAGTTGGACCAATTGTGTGCCTGCCACTGCCTGGCACAGCGGAAGGGCTGTATTTGAAAGAAACTGACATGACCTTGGCAGTGAAGCTGATGTTACAGCCCTTCCGCCTCGTCTCCTCCTGCAGTTGACATCCGTCCGCTTGGAAGATGAACAAATACGCCGCCACCCGCCATGCCTGGGTGTTTCTATCTGTCCTTTTCAATATTGCCACCATCGGACTTGTCGTGCTTGTTCACCAGTGTGACGTCTTTCTCCCCCCCGTAGGGACCTCTTTACAGAAATTTTTGCCCACGTTCGCGTCCCTCGTGGGCCAAATCGTCGTTTGCACCAATGCCATCGCTATCTCATCGCTAGTGACGGCATTCACCAAGAAGAAGATATCTGACCGGGGGATCACCTTTGAAGAAATGAACCATCTCCATTCTGTTGGTGAGCGGAGTCACCCTTTCAATGTCATTGTAAATGATTCAAGGGTTGAGCTAATCATACCAATCGATCGCAGCCAACGGGAAACTCCCACATTCTCTCGCTCCGATTGCCTTCGTCGCCATCGTCATCATGTTGGCACAAGGTTTCTTTACCTCCGTATGTTGTTCTTTTTCTCCACGCTAAACTTTAGCTTCAATTTCTGAACTTGACCGAGTAGGCAATAGTCAACAGTGTCTCTCCCGATATCATGAACTGGGGAACGACGCATAGCATGCCAATTATTGACCTTGCTATGGATACGAACCAAGTGAACGTCACGTTAGTGTAAAGAACAATATGTATAGTCCGCTGCCATTTCTAACCCTACATTGGTGCATTAGCTGTTCGTATGGCAATGGAGACATCAATCTATACGGTTACGGTACAAATTGTCCTCTCAACAACGCCTACGGGGTCATCTACAACGTCAGTCCACACCCTTGCGCTTCATTTACGACTCGAAATTTCACCCACACCCAGGCCTACATTGACTCGTTGGGTGACAAGTTTCCCATCAGCAGCACCAGGGACGGAGTCTCATACCCTTCCACCCTTCTCGGCATTTCTGGCTCGATTTCCACGCTATCCACTCGGTACGCTCGGGATGTAAGCGGGAATCCGAAGCGCTCGGTTCTCCCTACCGATACGTTCGACTCCTGTGTGCCAAAAGTCAATGTGACCGCAACGTGCAATCCCAACCTCGACAATGGCCAGACTGCGGAAGTTGGGGTCAGTTTTGACACCACTACTGATCCCTCTAAGTGACTCAGTTTACTCTTTTTTCCGCGTGTGCAGTTGCTCGACGTTCCTGACAAGTTGGGATGCAACTCAATTGCCACCTTCCGCATTCGTAACAGCGATGGAAGTTATGTTGAGCACGGATATAAATTTGGCCCGGTTTACGCCAATGGTGCAATCTCCATTTTCCAGGATGATGACTATCAGAATGGAGAAACGGTCGTCACGATCTTGAGGTGGGTCTCGTTATGTTCCACCTGTGTTCCTAACAACATCTGATTGCTGTGTCTCCATTTAAAGCACTGGGAAATATGCCGAGAACCTTAGCTCCCCCATAATCCAATGCCGTGTCTGTGCCCATCAATATCTCATCCCCATTCGCATCGTAGGAAATAACTATGTCCAGACACTCCCTTCGCTTCAATGCCCCCCTCGCTCCGAACCATCCCCTTCCTCCCTACTTCAAGTGGTTCGCATCGCGCCCATGGCACTGGTCAAATCACAAGGTCAAGACGGAAGACTCGATGCTATATCGCTCATTTCGCCACAGACAAGATCGACTCCTGGAGGAACGATAAGGGCCCTCGAACTTGCGCTTGAGCGAATGGCCAGTGTCGGAGCGACGGAAATGTATGGGCTCTTAGACGGTATCTCCAATATCACATGGCCAAACACAACGGATTACACGTTCGCAACGCGGAGATACAAGCTCGGGGTATCAGGGAAATACAGTCTTATGTTTCTACTGAGTCCGGGGATCCTATTATTTGCCTTGCTTTGGGGGTGGGGGTGGGTGGGCTTCGAGAAGGGCGTGGATGGAGGTTTCAATCCCTTACATCCTAGCTGTACAGCAGCAGCAGGAATGAAAAGGGAAATCCTGGCGGCTGAAGTCGCTGGCACGAAGGATGCAGATGCAGATGAGCTCGAGGAGCTAGACGTGATTGTTAAATATGGTGACTAGTGTGATACTCACTGTTCGTCGCATTGACACTCAAGTTTTCCAACTAGGCTATGTGGACGGGACGAGGTTAGGTCTCGAGGCGTCAGGTGGGCAACCTACATATTCCAAATATTTGAGGGTGTATAAGGACTCCCCAACCGCGTCACCCATACCGACGCCGAGCTTTAGTAGCCCCGACCAACAACTCTATTCAGCCCCAGCCTTCCCTCACCCGCACTAACGTGCATACTTGCATTAGTTTTCTTCGACTATGCTGCACGCTTTGCATACTTAGGCTTTTGGTATTGGAGCAGCACTCTTCGTCGTTTCCATCCTTTCTATGTAAAACCACTCCTCACAGTACCCTGTTAGTAATGTCATATTTCCCCAAGGACCGTGACGTTGGTCCCGATGTAAACTAATATGCTGGTCACCGTCACCGTTCAGTTGGTCACGTTTGCGCCGTCACGATGAAGCGCCATTATGATGAGACAACAGAGTCAGTTCCGGATAAGAATAACGATGCTCACGATGCAAGCTCCAAGATGATCTGCTCGTCTGATGAACCTTTCGACCAATGCGATGAGCCTGGTGGAAGCCGTAGGACTGCCTTGATTTGTCGGCTCGCGCCAACTTGCTCTGGTCCTAACCGCGCCACTCGGCTTCGCGATGCTGTAGAGATGGAACGACATTATGCTGTATGCCACACACATATTTGTGCAGCTGATAGATGCCATACCGTATTTCCCGACGAGAGGTTCCTTGAATTAGTGGGTGCAAGTTATGTTCTGTTTCACAGTGACAATCTGATGAGATATCTCAACAAGCACCAGGTGGAATGTCATGACACTTTGGCGGCAATTAGAAAGGAGAGGGGAGAGAAAATTGTACGGTCGGGTGATACTTATATCGAAAGTGACACTGATGCATCGGCTGCTTCATTTCTAGTTCGAATGCTTCGTTGCCACATGTAGAAGAAATTTCCTAACGCCAAAGGGTAGGAGACTTCATCTAATTAATTCACACAACTACCCCAAGGAATACTTCTTTGCCATCACCAATAAGGGAATTGGAGGTCTTTTGAAGAAGTGGGGTCCTGGTGCCAGCCTCATTCGAAAAGAGTGGAAGCGTCGGGAAAAGCCAGAACATTCCAGTGATTCCGAAGATAATGGCGATGAAGATGGCGAAGAAGTTGAACGCTCATATGATACAGCTCCACGAAAACCATCTCAAATGCCGAAAACTGTCCGGGATCCCCCACCTCACTTGCAATCACTTCCTCCGGCCTCCACCCAGAACCAATCCTCTTCTCGAGCCTTCGCAACTCCCACTCCGTCGTCTCCAAAAGCTCCTCCATCGTCTACTGAACTCTCGAATGACGCAGATAACAATGGCGCGGCCATGGATGTACTAATCCAGAACGTAAGCGCCCTCACTCTAGTGCCAAGTTCAATCCGATTTGGCAGAGGCGGAAAACAGAGAGGATCTGCACCCCGTCCACGCCGAAACAATCAGCTCAGTGCCGGTTTAACGTCTAATATGGAGTTGGATTTGAAAAGTGGATAATGATGGGATTTGGTATTCGATGTTGCTATTCCTTCGGTGCGGTGAATGTCCTACGAAGGGCTTTGGTTCTAGCCCCTACGTCTCCCTTACATCTCCTCATCGCGCCTCAGTTTGTCCATGCATGGTAATACACATGGGAACGCTCATCACCCATCGTCAACATTCAAAGTGACGTCTGGTTTTGTATAACGACTCAATGTACGTGGAACCCGCGCCCCGGTACACCTATTAAGCTGATTTTCGAATGAGAATCACCACTTACCGGTGGTTTCGTGTGATAGTTTGAGTGTTGAGTGTGACATATCAAGGCACATTCGGACGTGTCAATGGATATTATTGATTAGTGTAGGTCCTACACATATCGTGAGATCACATATTGTCCGTGTAAGCGGCCAAGAGCAGAAATCACTGCTGTGAACTAGAATCAAAATCAATCGGGAGCTTGTAGTACAAAACTGCAAAAGACAGGCCTGCGGGACCACAGACTCCGATGTACCAACCCTTCTAATATTTAAGAGAATCCTATCATGTACTTGATGAGAAGGCTGAATCGATTCAAGAAGAACTCACTTTGCGGCCCCCCTGCACGAGCTTTTTAAGCTGGGCAATCTTTAACGCTGCATTGTTGGGATCTTGCCCCCCAGCATCACTAGTTTCTGTGCGCTCCTTGAAATCTTGAAGGAATTCACGCAATTTGCGAAAAGCATCCCCAGTGGGAATTAAGGTCGATGATTCGATGATAAAGTGCAAGGGTGGGCTATCGTCCGTGCTCATTGCTTGGATGTGGCTGTTCAAACTCGGCAACTTCCATACGCTTGCCCTACGGTGTTATACCAGGCTACAATTGTTATGAGGGTTCCCCTCAAACTGGATGGCCGAGCTTGCAGCGCCTTCGGCGCTGCGCTGCAAGCTTGGCCATCCAGTTTGGGAGGAACCCTCTAACAAACCGTACTGCAATTTCAAATATATGCCATCTTCATTTGTATGCAAAGTGTTTAGTTCAGGCAATGATCTATTTGTTGCAGTAAATAAACTCCATACCCAATCCAAGAATCTGTTAGATACTGATCCGGGGTCGGGCACCGAAGGTTGCCGATGCGGACCGCTAAGGGCCGCGATGGCCGCGATGCCTCAGACAAGGCCCGAGGGTAGGGCATTTGGCCTCAGCAACTCTAAAGGGAGTGCTGTGCCCCCTAGTTGTCTCTTGGCCCTCATTTCGAACTTACTGGGGCTGCCTTGTTGGGGTCAGGGCTTGGGGTCGTGGTCAAGTCGATATTAGAGCTGAGGTACTATAATGTAGTATACAGGATATATATATGAAGATAGAATGAATAGAAGCGGACCCGGGCCGAAGGCCGAAGGGTCCGGAAGCAAATAGGAACAAAGAGCGGGGTTGGCCGCACCACGGCCGGCAATGACCGAGGGTCAAAACAAACAATAACAGATAAATAAACAAAGGGGTGTAGGGCCGCGATAGCGGCGATGGTATCATAGCGGAGTAGGCGATGTCGCGGAGTCACACTAGGTTGGTACCAGAGGCGGACTCGGGGCAGGGAGGTCGGTGTGGCTGTGGGGGAGTCGGCCAAGTGTAGGGGAGCCTAGGGGCAAGTGGGGGAGTGAGCAGGTGTCAGGGACGCGTCCAGGGTCGAGAGGGCCCGGGGGTAATGCCCGGCACTGAGGCCGTCGCGGGGTGTGGAGCGGGCGTGCGTACTGGCGGGCCCGATCCGGGACAGTGGTCCCTGGCCACTCAGACTGAAGTGGAGAATGTGTTATTATTATTAAAGAGGAAAACTATACTACTTACCTGAAGTGGAGAATGTGAGAAGAAGGTTACTTCTTCGGTTCCCACTTCAGGTACATTTATGTACATGCGGCTTGAGTCACATGACAGGTGCCACGTCATCCTCGGAGGCAGCCGCAGGCATCCGGGTGTCCCCGTGGGGGATCCCGAGAGCGTCCGCTACATGCGCTGTAGGCGGGATAATCGCCCACGCGCAGAACCGGCTCGGATACCCGTTCACACATTCAGAAAACCACTTTTATTCATGCGACAACTCGATACGGATTCGGTATCTAAAAATAGTGCTAATTCGTACGATTCTGACGATACCAAGAACGTCCCAATCGGTGGAGATTTGACGGAGTTCCGTGTTGGAGAAGTTAGGCACAGCAGGTCACGGGCATGTGCGGGCGTGGGAATCTCAAGCGGCAACCCAGAATTCCAGCCTCACTCGTTCCCACGGCATCTAATAAATTGGTAAAAATGCTTATTGGCTGCGTGAGAGTTATCTCCGGCTTCATTTCCAATTTTGGCCTTTAATTCCGTAAATCCGTTGAGAAATCGCTTATTTTCTTTTATTTTCATATTTTGCCATCATTTCAGATATTGATTGATATCCTTTTATTGTTACTGTTACCCTTTTCTATTATTTCGCCTAATAAGGTATCCAGGTGCCATATGGTACCAATATTTCTCATCAATTATTCTAAAAATAATTGTTCCTTATATCCTGTACATACCGGATTTTGGAAAAGAAGTTCTCCCCTCCCCCATTTTCTCTAAGGTGCTAGGACGCGCTAGAGAGGGTGTGAGTGAGTGGAATCCAACAGTAGGAATAAGGGCAACTGTCTAGCCCACAACGAGTGGGTAGTAGATTAGTTGAGCCCGGACCTTGCGGAATCCCGGAGAACCCACACGGAGTTTAAGGATCGAGAGTCAAGCGAAGTTTAGAGAGAAAGTAGAGAGTTTAGGAGAGTTTGGCCCCACGAGCTTAGTCGGCATAGAGAGCCGCTAGCCCTCTTGCAGCGCGCGTGCTGGGCACAGCGGGAGGCCGTCCGGGGTGTGTGGGCCGGACGGGTCAATAGTACATCGATACAAGGGAAGGTGGTCCGTGTAGATAGAAAGAAATAAACAGGAAGAGGAACATGAGAAGAATGAAATAAAGAAAGGGGAAAGAAAAGGGAAAAGAGGGGGGAGGAGAGGGAGGAAGGAGGGGGGAGGGGGATAGACAGCGGGGAGCGGGTGTGGTGTGGCCGGGTGGGCCCGGGTGGGCCCGGGTCAGGCGGGTGTGCCCTGACAGCAGGGGGCCCTCAGGGAGGATAGGGCTGAGGTCGGCGCTCGCACTCGCGCTCGCACAGCGGGAATAGGCTCGGGCAGCATCGGGACGGGCGGCTAGCGGGCCGGGATGCATGGTCGTGACAGAATCTGAGCCATACCCACAGATTGAAATGTGCATTCAGTGTCAGGGATTGCTTGTCAGTCCAAGTCAAGTATCACCCAAAAACCTAGTCATAGACAAAGCTGAGGTTCCAACCCTCAGCAACACATAGGGCTATATACATGAGAGATATGAATCAATTGGAAGAAAAAGGATCAACAGAACTAAATGATGAGGTAGGCAACAAACAGGGAGATACTCAGATCAAGGGGTGGAGTCAGATCAGGGAAAGGGGTGAGAGAGTTATGGGCTGATGCAGCTACATGCAGTGATATATGTAGTCATATGCTATGTCCCTGACATTCAGATTGGCCCACAAAGATACTGTACTGGCACGATCAACAACCTGTCACGTGTCACGTGAAGGTCTTGGATTGAATTGAAAATCAACAAAATTGAATTGATTTATGGCTCCAGTAACTCCTGGAGGCCATGGGAAGAGGTTGTTGGTTGTGCCAGTACAGTAGGCCAATATGGGTCTGATCTGCTAGGAGCCCTAGATGTCAGGTAGAGGGAGGGTGCATGGACACTCCTCCACATGTATGTGGGTTAAAGTCTTGGCAGGTGACTGATAAAAATGGAAGCAGGATTGCATATATACATGTTACCCAGGGAAATCGATGTTATTAAGTTGCCATCATAGTGTTACATGCTACCCAGGGAAATCAATGTTATCAGAGACAGCTAGCCATGTGTTCTGCACTTGCTCCCTGTCCTTACTCCACATTGGTCACTGCAGGGGCTGTCCTGCTCTGCTCCATATGGCATTATTAAAGAGATACGTTCCCACCACACCACAGCCCCATACCCAACTTCCCAACCCCCTACCCGACCCAACCACCAACCCAAACCCCCCAACCCAACCCATGGGCAATTACTTTCCAGGGATGCATACACACACACACACACAGCACACACACACACACACACACAGCACACACCACACACCACACTGCACTCACACACTGCACTCACACACCACACTCACACACCACACTCAGCACTCAGCACTCAACACTCAACACTCACACTCACACCACACACCACACACCACACACCACACACCACACATCACACACCACACACCACACACCACACTCACACACCACACTCAGCACTCAGCACTCAGCACTCACACACCACACTCAGCACTCAGCACTCAGCACTCAGCACTCACACTCACACCACACACCACACACCACACATCACACACCACACATCACACACCACACATCACACACCACACACCACACACCACACACCGCACTCACACACCACACTCACCACACTGCACTCACACACTGCACTCACACACTGCACTCACACACTCCACACTCCACACCACACACACACTCCACACACTCAGCACTTGCACACACACAGCCCTTACCCAAACAAATGCATGCCTTGCAAGCTCAGCCAACAAACCACTGTCTCAACCCATGGCAGTTACTCTCTGGGCATACTGTGCTGCTGGATGTGACTGCATGTACAATGCCTCGCAAGCTTGGCCAATAATGTATAGATGTCAGAGGAAGAGGACCCAATCAATCAATCATCATCTAAAAATACATATTCAGATACATCAACATCATATGGGTTTTCATGAAAATCAAGCTGTTCACGTCTAACATTATCTCGGAGCAACATTCCCCGAATCCCACCTTCTGGATTATTGACTTTTTGGAGACGGGTCAGGTCAAATGATGTTCTGAATGCAATTCCCTTGATTGACTTGACCCGTGAGATTGCAACATATGATAATCCAACTGCAAAGTCACTTGGTCCCAAATCAATCACTGCCCTTTCAAGTGTTAGACCTTGACTCTTGTGGATGGATATACCCCATGCAAGTGTAAGTGGAAATTGGGTACGGGAAAGTGAGTGTTTATCCCGAGTCTCCCAGCGTGTAGTGAAGGGGATAATGGGCACAACTGGGCAATCTGGATTGTTTTGAGATAGCCACTTTGCATCCACTGGGCCAGTGTATGTTGGGAAGCATACAAAAACAACCAGAGGGATGTCTTTAGTGGGATCAGCATCTGGTGCATATCCAATATGGTCCACTGTCCCACGAGCACCATTCACAAGACCTGCATTTATATCAATACCTTGTGGGGAAGACCATGTATTTATATGTCTCACCTTTATCTGTCCAAATATTTCGAGTGAGCATGACAGAAGCACCTTCTGCTAGCAAGATCTCACTGTCCAAACCTTCTGCCTCATCTTTTGATGCAGCTGCTGCTCCTGCCCCATGGTTTATTGCCTTGATACGAACAACAGGCTTATTCAATGAGGCTAATCAATGAAGGTTAAAGGTATCAACAAGCTCATTCTGTGGGAGAAGATGAATTTCTGTTGAGAAACCCTCTCTTTCATGCTGGGGGAGGTTAGTCCACATGCGTGGAACCAGAAGCTGGTTGAAATCTTCCAAAGTGACCTCATTGGTTCGAAGACGTTGAAGGAAATCACGGAAATGTGTCTGCTCTCTATCTGCACCCTCTTGGCGGAAGATTTGTTTTAGCGTTATTGACTCAGGGATAGAATGGTAGA